TTTGCCAAAAACGTAATACGTAATACGTAATACGTAATTACGAAATTAATTACGAAATTAATTACGGGTGACGAAATTAATTACGGGTGACGAAATTAATTACGGGCGACGAAATCAATTACGCGTGACGAAATCAATTACGGGTGACGAAATCAATTACGCGTGACGAAATCAATTACGAATGACGAAATTAAATGACACGTATTATTTATCTCGTTATACTAGTAAAATGACATAATTTGACAACTTTTTTTAGAAATATAGAATTTATTCTGTTATAATAACATGTCAGTATAATGGAGAACCAATCAAAATCATTCTCATTTCTGAAAAAACATAATAATAAGGAAATAAAACTTATGCCGGGATCAAGATTGACCGGCACCATGGAAAATTCTGATAACACTTCTGTATAATGCTGTCAATTTTGACCCGGCGTAAGTTTTAAATTTCCTGATAAAACATGAATGAAATAAAAATAAAATATATAATAAAAATAAAATTACAAAATCACGTGATAATGATTTTCATATGACTTCTATATGAACTCCCGTTTTAATGACATTCTCGTCATACTGACATTTTTTGTTTGTACGGAGAGTATTGTTATAACGGGAGTGACTTGTATTATGATATTTCCAATAATTAATTCGTTGTTATTCATAATTAATTTTGTCACCCGTAATTGATTTCGTCACCCGTAATTAGTTTCGTCACCCGTAATTAATTTCGTCGCCCACAATATGGTAATTAATTTCGTAATTATGTTTTTAAAAGGAAAATGGTAATTAACTACGATAATTACGTACTTACGGTAATTATGCAATTACCATCCCATGTATAGTGTCAACAACGGTTTGCATAGAAAATTTTCACAATAGTAATTAATTTGTCGCCCGTAATTAATTTGTCGCCCGTAATTAATTTCGTCACCCGTAATTAATTTCGTCACCCGTAATTAGTTTCGTCACCCGTAATTAGTTTCGTCACCCGTAATTAATTTCGTCACCCGTAATTAGTTTCGTCACCCGTAATTAATTACGAATTACGTATTTACGGTAATTAGCTAATTACCATATCATGTATAGTTGGTACCAAATTTTGTTTTTCAAAATGTGTACCACAAATTCTCCAGACATGATTTAGATTGTTAACATTTCCCCACCTTCTAATAGACCATGATTGCTTTCCAAACACCAATTAAGTCGGTTCTCCATTTGTACATCAGATAATAAAGGTTTTGTGCTGGAACATGAGAAAAAAAAACAAGATTATGTAAGGACCTACAGATTGTCTTTTGTGATGCTTTGGTATTAGTTTTTTTTTTCAAAGTCTTGCTGTATTTCAGCTAAAGTACTACATATAGGGTTTCTTATTAATAATTCTATTTATAACTCATTCTTTTTTTCACCAATTAATTTTGGACGCCCGGGTTGAGATGCAGAACTTGTTGTATGGGTGACTCTAAAGCACACCAAAATATTATGGACTGTAGACTTTGATATTCCAAGAACTTTACTAATTTCTCTCACAATACTACTGGCTCTGTGACATACCAACAATTTGACCACGGATTTCTTCATTTAATTCTTTCCTTTTTGAGTTTAAATTATCAACTTCCATTATTAAAAAAAATGTGACAATCAATAACAAAACTTTTATGTAACTCTTTATTCAGTGATGAAAATCATAACAAACATAAATAGATGATTCAAGAATATATGTAAAAATTTCACATGTAGTTAATAAATCAATAAAATTTCAATTGGTTTTCAAAAAAGTGGTCCATGACTTTTGGGAGGTGAGTATCAAGATAACACAACTTGGCAAGTACATATTTTAATTATGAGTGATTATTCTTTTGCTTTTTTGGTTATACCTTGGACCATTTTTAAATTATTTTTCTGAATATCTAGTCAAATTTGGGCCTTGTAATTCCGATTCTGGATTTTTGTTTTCCAATAAACTTCTTCCAAGCTTATCACATAAATGTTCAAATAAAATTTCTGTCTGCATATAATGTAATTTATCTGGTGGCATAATATTAATAACGATAAGTAACATAATAAAAATAACAATGATGCCCTTCAACACTGGCATAATGCAATGTGTTCAAAGAAGAACAAGAAATGAAGTATGGAACCATCTCATAATTGTAGATGGAAAAACTAAATTCAATCATTGCACTAGGCAAATATTTTTTTGACTTTCGAAACCATTTGTTTCCAAAAGCAACCATTCGGAATTCATATGGTATATATTTGAATTAGATTTGAACCAAGTCATCTATAGATTCGGACCAGGTTCGAATCAAATCAAAGCACAATTCGTATTCGATTCGTTCAGAGCCTTAATTTAGAAAAATATATTCATTGTAAATATTTCTTTCCTCTTAAACGATATATAAGATTGTTCCGATATTAAAATTATTATATGAACCTAATTTATATGGAACAACCAAAGGATTATATATAGCACCATTAAAAGTAAGAACAAGGTGATGATAAATTGTTATGTATGTATTTGAAATAAATGATACAAATCTTGGACATAGTAATATATTTGAATTTATCTCTTACAAACTGGCAAAAAATGTTATTTATTATAAAGGTATTCTCGACACTTGGAAAATTTCTGATTTCCTAATTTAAATTCATGAAAGGACTCATTAGCAATGTTGAAATTTCATAATATCCCCAAACTAGATTTAATATCAAAGGATTGAAAGTATTATATACATAATGTTAAATTCTATTCAACCCTGAAACACCAGATCTTTCACAACACCTATAACATGGTCCACACAATCAATATACATTGTCTTTCTCGATCAATCCAAAACTACCATCATTACATTTGAAGTTGGTATGATAAAATTTAGTTCGATGCTTTGACAGTAACCACAAATTACCAAACATAAATAAATCAAATAGATTTTTTATCCACAGCATTATCACAAGTGATCTTCAAATGTTTCTTGTCTTTGTCCAGTTTCTTAATTCCACATACCAAATGTGCCATTTGGACCTTTTCCCATGATCCCCATTTTCATTAACACAATTAAATACTGCTTGGATAAAATGATATACCTGTTTATCAGAATGTAGCAAGCACATGAACATTTTTGGACTCGGTGCAGAGTATTTGGGCTAGATACTGACTGGAAGAGCACACTCCTGTTTAACTCGGACAAAGAGTTGCGAGATGTTTCTTTGTGAGTGCGATGAGTGGTTTGATAAGAATCAAAAATTCCAGCTTGTCACATTGGGATCGAGATGTTAATGCTGCTATAAATTTTTTTGCAACATGAACACTTACAATGGAGAGAAGCCTGATACACTTATAAACTCCCTGTTTGTCATTTTAATTGTGGCAAGATATACCACAGGACTCTGAATCTTTGATTTTCTTTTCCCGATTTAGCGTAATAAAAATGACTGATATAATAAAATTTTAATTAATAATTTATTTATTATTGATTTTTTTTTCTAATTAAATTAATTAAATGAAAAATAAAATGAATAAATAAGATAACAATAAATTTGATTGATTAATTAATTTAAATGATCTATGATTATTATAGTGTAATAAAAATCTATGTTATGATGATAAAATAATAAATAATAATCTACATGTGTATGATATATAACTACAATTAGAGTTTATTAGATTAATAGCAGTAATGATAATAATAGTAATATACAAAAAAAAAATTTTTTTAATAAAAAATAAAACTTTTCAACTTTTTTCATCCGGATTAACAGCAACATCTACGGTACTCCACTCTTTAACTTTTTCAAATACCCAGAAATTCAAACTTCCTAACGGTATAACAATCCATAACCTAGCCGACATACCAACAAACAATCCTCTCATTCCTTCAGTTTTGATTATTTGATTCGCAACATTTAACCATTTCAAGTCTCCTTGACCAGATTTTCTAGCTATTTGAATTTTGGTTTTGACAACGTCAAAAGGTGCCGACGTAAAAGTTGCCATAGTTCCTGCTGCAACTCCTGACGTTACAGAAAGTAAAAAATGCGATGTTGGTAAAATATTTTTTAAATATAGATTGTTTTGTTGTTGTAGTCTCAGTTGTTCCAGTGTATAAGTGTAAACAAAAAAATAGGTGGGGAAAAATGAAACAGTGTTAAGTAGTCCTGCAGTCCAGCCGCGATATAAAAATCGATAAAGTGGTACATCATTAGGTTTTAAACGTGTAATGAAATTTTTTTGAGATGACTCAATTAATGCTGTTTTGATGGATGATGTTGTTGCGGGCGTTGTATTTGATACGATTTCGAATGTTGGTAACTTTTTCGACGATGTAGTTGATATTGTTCTTTTTGATATTTTGGAGTTGTTGTTATTATTATTATTTAATGAAGGTAGCTCTCCACCGGGAATTACAGTGTCTATTCCAGACGATGACGCCTTAGAAATTTGAAGTTGTTGTGATATAACATCAAATGGTACCATAAAGCTAGAGGTAATTACAGCACTCAATGTTCCCAAGAAAGCATTGATCGTTGTTTGACTATGGCCTTCAAGCCACGAAAGACCAATATTTTTTGCATTACCTTTACCAACACGTTCTCTTAAAGCATCATAGGTTGCAAAGTGGACTAATCTACCACCTATACTACCCATCGCATAAACACTAACACCTTTAAATAAGCCTCGTGTTCCTTCTGATTTTAATCTTTCTTTAAAAACTTCAAATAAAGATGTTGACAATTCAGTACCAATGTTTGACTGTTGAATAGTTTTTGCGGTTCTTATTGGATAAAATATATAAATTGGCAAAAGATTAATGATGAAGCCATAAAAATAATAACGTTTAAAATCAATGGTTTGATCAGATCCCAACGGCAAATGATTCATTTTGACCTTTTCCATTATTATTATTACAAATCAAAAAGTTTGAATCTATTTATTTATTTATTTGTTATAATAATCTTTTTTATATTAAAAAATTGTTTTGATCTGCAAAGCAAAACCAGCCAATCACATTTTGATACTTGTGTTTGATGTAGATGTTACACGTGAAATTGATTGAAATGAAAAAAACTATATATATATATTAATTATATATATATATAAATATATTATGTATGTATATAAAAACATAGAAAAATAAAATTAATAAAGCAAAAAAGTAATCATAAATAATTAATAGCAAGGTGATATTATTGGTTATTTATTTACTGCTAATATATTTATTATCATTATAAAAATTATCATTAGGTATTATTATTATTAAATTAATAATATATTAAAAATTAGAAAAAAAGACATAAAAAATAAAATATAAATTTTTGCTAAAACCCCATCACAAATCAAATCATTTCAATCTTTTTTATTACTCATCCGATATTATGACGACGCTGTTGTGTCAGATGGCACCGTCTCAGCCTTAGTAGAAGGCTCAGGATCAGTTTTTGTAGGCTCAGCAGCATCAGTTTTTGATTCTGGTTCTGGTTTTGATTCGGATGGTGTTACATCTGTTTTTTCAACTTTAGGGTCAACAGGAGCGGTAACAGTGGTTTCATCTGTTTTAGTGGTATCTTTTCCTTGTGATGATTCTTCTTCTACCTTTTCTACCTTTGTAGCATCATGAACTTCAGCTGTAAAATCACGATCTGATTGTGCAATAGTTGGAAGCAATTCTTTTTTTGATTCTTTCTGGTTTTTCAAGGATATGGCTTCCTGAATAGCATCGTGCCATTCATCACGAAGTTTCTTATCTTCAGTGTAAAGTTTATAAGTTCTTGGAGCTTTTGTATCAATTTCTATATAATATTTGTGTTTTTCATGTTTTTCTTTTTCCACAATTTTTTCTTTTTCCGCAGATTTTTCTTCCTCGGGTTTGTCCTCTGGTTTTTTTTCTTCCTCTGTTTTTTCTTTTTCCTCTGTTTTTTCTTTTTCCACTGTTTTTTCTTTTTCTTCGGGTTTTTCTTTTTCCACTGTTTTTTCTTTACTATCGGGATCAACTTTTTTAACCTCAGCACCTGTAAGATCTATGTTTTTTTCTCTTTTATTACTGAGGTAAGTTAAGGTTCCGTCTTTATTTAGTACGAAATATGTTTTATCATGTATTTTAAGAATTTGTGACACTTTAAATAATTCGCCATGTTTTATACTGTCATCAATACGGGGTTGGAGTATTTCTTTATCACGCTTATCTTTGTTAAAAATGCCCTTCTTTTTTTCAGTTGGTGCGGTTGTTTCTGGAGTAGTTGAAGTATCTTCAGCCGTTTTTGCAACAGGTTCGTTGGTTTCTTCTGCTATAGTTTCTTCTTTTTTGTCATCAGGTTTTGCATCAGTAGTGGAAGTAGCAACGGCAGTTGTATCAGTTTTAGTTACTTCGTCAGTTTTTCCTGTGGTAGCATCTGGTGTTTCTACTTCTCTAGTACTACTATTATCAGGTCTTTTTGCTTTTTGTAAATATGTTTTACTACGATTTATGAATTTTTTAGTTAATTCTATAGGACCGGGACCAGGACTTGTGGGACTAGTTGAACCCTCTGCTTTATCTGTTTTATCTGTTTTATCTGTTTTATCTGTTTTATCTTCATTTTCAGATGTAGTTACTACGGGTTTTTTATTTTTCTCATCTACATTCTTTTCCTCCCCCTCTTCTTTTTTATTAGGTTCTTGATTCAATGATGATGATGGTTCATCAGTAATGGGTTCAGTAGTGGTAGTTTCACCATGGGCTGATGTAGAAGAAACAACACTAGTTACTTCATTTACAGCTTTTCTAATTAAATTTTTAATGAATGATGAGTCTTTTTGTTCTTTAGTAGCAGCATCACGTGTTGTGTCATCAACATTTTCTTCGGGTTTTTCCTCAGCTTTATCACCGGTAGTAGTCTCATCACTAGCATCAGGTGTAGTAGTAGCATTTTCGGTAGCTTCATTTGTGGCAACATCAGAAGTATTTTTTCTTGTAAGAAAATTAATAAAATAGCTTTTTTGTTTTTGAGGTGTTTTAGAAGTATCATCGGTGGTGGTAGTTGTCTCGCTTGTAGTTAAAGATTGAGGAGTTTCAGTAGATGGATCTTTTATAAGTGAACTAAAGAAGTTGGTAATCGTTTTACGTTTATCAGAAATTGGAGTTTTTTGTGGATGATCATCCTCTTCAGAAAGTATATCTGAATCTGAAGTAACATTAGGAACATTAACCAATTTAGTAAAGCCTAAATTGGGGTCTATATTAATGGATAAAATAATTAATATAAATAAAATAAAATAAAATATTAATAAGCAATTTTAATTAATAAATAACAAAATATATTATTCACACACCTTCAAGTTTTTGATAAATTTCTTTGAAAGTATCCTGAACTTCAATTGGTGGCAAAGATTTTGCTTCAATAATTTTTTTATTAATAGACTTTACCCATTTTATTTTATCATTATGACTTGATGCGGTAAAATTATAATCACGAATCGTAGTTTTTATTGTAAAATTTTGATAACCTTTGCTATCGGAATCAACACTTGAATCTTTAAGATTAATAATACCAAATGGTTCTTTATTGTCATAATCATTTTTAGTCTTGTAATATACTAAAAGGCCTTTTCCTGTTATAGAAGCATGAGCAAGATTATTATAAAGAGCTTTATTTGATTCAATTTTTTTCTTGGATCTATCAACCGCTTGTGCTGCAGCTTCAGTTGATTCCTTTTCCTCCTTTGTTTTTTCAGGAGCTTCAGTTGTTGGTTTTTTTGAATCATCTTCAACAACAATCTCACTATCATCGGGTTTGGTTGTTGTTGTGGTATCCTCTGTTTTTGTTTTAGTGGCGGGTGTTGTTGTGTTACTAGAAGAAGAATGGGAAGGAGTGATGGGTTTGGTTGTTTTAATATGTTTTCTATAATATTGAGTTAATTTTTCCAATGGAATTGGTTCATCAGTGCCAAAGGCAGCATAATGAGCAGCTTTTGAAGAAAATATGCCACTTTTAAGGGTAATTACGTCACCAGTTTCGATAAGTTCTTCTTTATCCTCTTCAGTTTTGACAACTTCTCTATTAGTTTCCTTTTTATCATCATCTTTTTTTACTTCACTATTTTCTGCGGTGTTAGAGGTAGTAACTTCTTTGGGAGTAGTTGTAGGTTCAGCACCAGCATCAGGTTTTGTTGTTGCTGTATCAATAGTATCCTCTTTTTTCTCTTCGGTTGGTTTTGCCTCTTCGGTTGGTTTTGCCTCTTCAGTTGGTTTTGCCTCTTCAGTTTTTGTCTCTTCGGTTTTTAACTCTTCGGTTGGTTTTGCCTCTTCGGTTTTTGTCTCTTCGGCTTTTGCCTCTTCAGTTGGTTTTGCCTCTTCAATGGGTTTTGTATCTGCTGGAACAGCAGTAGTTGAAGGTTCTTCGGCAGAAACAGTTGGTTCAGTCATTATTAATGTTTTGAAATGGTAATATTAGTTGTAATTATTATTATTATAATTATTATAATTATTAAAGTATAATTAAGAAATTTATGATTTTTTTTGAAATAAATAAATGTCGCTTTTTAATTATATTATTATAAATATTATTATATTAATTTTTATTATTTAGTAAAGATAAGAGAAAATTTTAAGGAAAAAAAAAGGGAGGAAAAAAGAATTAAAAAAATTATTTTTTAAAAAAAAGTTGTATATATATATACATATATGAAAAGGGGATGTGATGATATTATGTTATTTTAAAAAGTATAAATAAATAAAAATTTTTTTTTTGAGAAAAAAAAAAACTTACGAGGTATTAACAGGAGATGAGCCAAAAAAATCCAACTAATAAAGGGGTTAAAAGTAAATTAAAGTTACACGGACGTCAGATAGACAATATATTAAAATTTAAAGTCGTACGACAGACAGCATACACCATAAATTGTATAAATTAGATAAACATATATTAAAATGCATATAATAATATTATATCATTATTGTTTATAAAGGAAATGGCACAAATTAATGATAATTTACACCACTGAACCACTTGTACCTATAAAGACTTTTTTCCTCTCTCTCCTGAAAATGTTAATTTGTGTCATACATATTACGCAAAGATATTTTTGGAACTAATAAAATTATTATAATAAATAATATACACAAATATATATATACACACACAATCACACACAATCGCAACATCGACCACCTATTATTAACATTAACATTAATATTTTCGAATTATTCTAAACTAATTATTTAGGTTATTATAGTAAATAGAAGTCAAACCAGGCTAAGTAATGAATGGCTTAATTCAAAGATTTGTTGGGTTAATATTTTTTATATTTTTTATGCGATAAATTTCATCCTTTTTATTTTTATCCAAGTTGACATCCTTTTATGGAAAATTTGTGAGAGAGAAAAATGAATCCATCCAATCACAAGGTTTCCCTCGCATTTCTAAATAAAGTCAATGTCAAATAAAAAGTTTACTGTTAATTTAATATACCCCCCACTTTGTTTTCCCATTATATAATTTATGTAATTGAAATTTTTTAATTTTGTTGAATTAATTTGGTAAATTGAAAGTGAAAAATGGTTTGTTGTTGTCTTAAATTAGAATAAAAAAAAACAATCAAAATAATGTGATGTTTTATTCTAATTAATGACTGATTAATTGGGTTTTGATCTCATCCCCAGGAATTAAAAGCATAAATTAAAAAAACACATTTCCATACATTTTCCACATGTGTAAATCTAAATTTACACACATCACACTTACATATTTGTTATATAAACATAACAAATATTCCTTTGTTAAATCCAAAAAGCTCAATAATGAACAAATTACTGACTATGATGATTTGATATTGAACAATTTAATTAAAATGAACCAATCGCACCTACCTTCCTTGGTATTTAAAGAACAAATTACTATATTAAAAATATAATGTATTTAGTCATGTGATCCCACGTTTATGCTATATATGCTATATATTTATATGTACATGCAGCAACAGATCATTTGCATTATTTTTTTTTCCCAAAAAAAAAACTTGTTTCCAAACAAGAATTTTTTGTATATTTAATGAGTAATCATTTTTGTCATTTCTGTATATATATATAATTTGGCTGAGAAAATTCCATAATTTTTAACACCTGGCGTGATAATATATATAATGAGCTTAATGATGTAATTAATTTCAAAAAATGACATAACATATAATTTTCCCACGTACAATAAGAATTTTTTCATTACCAAATAGGAAATTTTTTCGTCAAAGTAAATATTTTGAAAATTTTTAAAGAAAGAAGTTTGGACAATAAAGGTAATAAGAAAAGATCATTGTTATATATCGATCATTGACCCTTTTAGGAAGTCACAATTGAAGATCATCCGAGAAACCGTGCATTTTCTTTATTTATTACCTAGTTTGTATTATAATGAATCGCTATGAAAAATTCGTTAAACGATTATTGCAATTACTTATTATTTATTACATTTTTGATTTTAAACTTTGGAAATTTTGTCGCGTATTTAATATAACTAGAATTGGTTCGATAAAGGTATTTTAGTATAACAGTAGAATTAACATACATAGAATTCATCAAAATTTGAGGGTCGTTTTTCAAGGGAGGAACAATTCTATGGACGTCAATAACTGCACCAAAACCCGAAATTTGGGAAAAATTAAAAAATCGCGTACAAACATGTAAACTTGGCAAGCCAGATTTGCCTAACTCGGATAAATTTTTTTATAATTACTACATTTAAAATTTCTTGATAAGTCGGCAACATATATGAATTCTTGGAAATTGAGTGCGGGGTTGTGTTACATAAGAAATGCGCACATTTTGTGATTAATAAAAATTTTTTTTTAACAAGTGTTTCTTTCATTTTTATTTGCCCAATGTTCATATGCTATTTAAAATCAAAATTTTGAATATCTGGTCTATTTAATAAAATCATTAAATGATTATTCAATGTATTAATATTCATTTTGTTTCTCAATTTGTTTTTTATCAACTTCATTTCTGAAAATATTCTTTCTACATGTGCATTAGAAGTATAAGGAGTGTGTGTTATTTTAATAATAATTGTTGAATTTGGGTAATTGAAAGAAGATATTGCTTAGTATTAGATAGTTTTGAGAGTAAAGCATAAATATACATTCATGGAAATTGTTATTATGATTTAGTATAAATAAATCAGAAGAAATTGGATTAACATTGTTGGCATATCATCATAAATAAAATCTAGAGACATGGTAAAAAATCAATAATAAATAAAAGTATTTTTGCATTCAAAAAAATAGATTATAACTGAAATCATCAATGATTTATCATTGATAAAAAAGCAAAGTATGTATACCTGAAGACATCAGCAATTTATTATAAATATAAATATACTTTGTTGCACGGATTTTTCTGCACAACAAATTATTGGCTGCCAACACTGGTCACATGACGAATTTTAAATTCTAGGATTGGGTTTCCAATACCAATTAAAATAATTAATTAAAAAATTTTTTTTTTATAATAAATGTCATTTGCAAAAAATTTCATTCGACCCAAATTTACATTAACAACTACTACATTACCTCTTGAAATTTTAAAATTTCAAACTTTCAGTAATAAAAATTTTCAAAGAGGTTAAGTATCCCGATTAATAAAAAATTGACAAAAGCAATAATAAATTTAAAATTGTTTAATTGACAATTAAATTGTTGTAGGGGAACTTAGTAATAGTTTTATACAAAAAAGATGGGCAACAAAAAAGGCAGGTGGTTCAACACATAATGGACGTGATTCTGCTGGGAGAAGATTAGGAGTAAAGAAATTTGGTGGTAAGTTTCTATTATATATTATATATATATATATATATATAATATATTTGTTTATTAAAGATACTTGATGAAATTATATAAATAGATGAATATGTTGAAATTGGAAACATAATTGTAAGACAGAGAGGAACTCGATTTCATCCAGGAGAAAATGTAATGTTGATTGATTGATTGATTGATTGATTTGTTGGTGGAATGATTATAAATAATAATTGTTTTCATATTTGTTATAAAGGTAAAATGTGGAAAAGATGATACATTATATGCGATACAATCAGGATTTGTACGATTTTATAGGGATCCCAAAAAACCAAAAAAAAGATTAGTAGGGATAGTTTTTGATCGTAATGATAAATTACCTAGATTACCGACTGAGCCAAGATCACGTAAATTTGAGTTTATTGATTTAGTGTCATATAGGAATGAGTTGAAATTATCAAGAGAAAAGGCGGCATCAAAAAAACTTGAAAATTAATAAAATAAGAAATGACATCTGATTACTGGCATATGCAACTAACATACTAAATTATGAGAATAATATAATGAAATTTATCTTTTAGCTTGACCATCTCATTGATTGCAAATTCCAATTTCTTTGATTCTTTAGTATTGGTAGTGTTTCTACAAATATTTGCTAGTTATTTTTGTAACTCACGCGAGATTATAAATAGGTCAGTGATACAAGTATCTTTTAATTGGAAGAATTTAAGTTTGACAATTTTTAAAATCTCAATAGACAATGCATATTTTCTTACCTGTGTTTTAATTTTACATGTGATTTAAACCAACAATCGTCCCATTTTAATTCTCAAGCCACCCAAGTATGTGTAACTTGGATGATTTTATAACAGTAAATAGCATTTCTAAAATTTTCAATTAAAATGGCTTCCACATTTATTACTGCTAATAACACACCTAGAAAACTTAATGTGAATTTACCAAGATATCCTTATAGATTGCTTGATGAAGCAACCAGGAGGGAAAAGGAAGCACTTGCACAAAAACATGAAGATGAAGAGGTGGAATATATATATATATAATTGCTTTTTATCATGTAATAAGATAAAACCTTTAAAGATACCAAATTTTATATTTTTTGATATTTTTTAGGCTAGAAATAATAATAAGCCAGATATGATTACAAAATTAGATATATTTAAAACAGACTCATTTTTGAATGATGATAAAGCCATCATTGTAAATTATCCATTTTTGAAGAACAGACATGAAGATGATAACGTCCTAAAACATTTTTTCAATGAGTGTAGAGATGTATTTATTGAATATATATATATATATATTTATTTTTTTTTGATATTGGGGAATTTTTGGTGATAAATATTTTTCATGATTAGCAATAATAATAATAATATGCTAATTTGTAATTTGTTTATTACTATACAAATACTAAAATTATATAAAAGGGGTACGCAACTATTCCTCAAGTAGTCATTGATTCCCTTGAAAGAATGCTTGGAGATATTTCAGGACTTCCACGCACTGTTAATTTTTTATCATTGCCACCACCACCACCACCATCATCATCATCATCAAGTCAAAATTATGAGAATATAGAGATTGGTAATGGAATCCTAGAAAAAAAAGAAAGCGATAACA